GGGTACAGCTCAGCAACACAGCATTCAACTAGCATGCCTTGGGTTCTATCCCCAGAAGCAAGGGCAGAAAAAAAGAAATCACAAAAAAACCCCAAACCAGAAAGTTAGAGTGTAGCGGCCACAGCCCGAAACTGATGGCGGAGATAAACACCACCCATGATCTGTGTACTTCAGATGCTGCTGGAAACCTGAACCCCACCTGGCTGAGGGGCCCAGAAGCTCGAGGGACCTCCAGCATCTGGGTCAAGGGCCTTCCCATGAGCAGGTTTCCTGTAAATGCTCTTGGATCCGGGTCAAGGCTGACTCTGTGGGAGCTGAGAAACCACAGCCTCCCTGGGGAGTCCCCTGGGGTTCCCACTCACCCCTTACACCAGGAAAGCTTGGTTTCTGCTTGACTTGTTGTCTCCACAGGAGGGGCCCCCAGTTTTCCCCTTCTGCTGCCCCTGCTCTGTAGGGCTTGGTCCCTATCTCTGCTGTACCTGTGGTCCCGCAGTTCCTCTGAAGCTCCGGACACAGCTGGGGCACAACATACAGGACTGCCCTCTGGAAATTACCGTGCAGTAATTCAGGAAAACCTAGAAGGGCATGGGGGGGGGCAGGGCTGGGAGGCTTCTTGTTAAGGCTGGGCCTTAGGGCTGCAGGAGGTAGCCACCTGGGGAAGGGCCGACAAAGGCACAGGCCCTGGACTGAGCATGACCTGGGCCATAAGAGGGTTTTGTAAAAGTGCGTCAGAAGGACCGTGAACAGACAGGAGTGGCCAGGTGGAAGCATTGGCCAGAAGGGGGGCCGAGGAGTGAGAGCTAAAACAGGCAAGGTCTAGTCCCCCAGTGCACTCTCTCCTAGTGTCCCTTGGCATTTTGGGTAAGGTTGCCCCACCCTTGGCTTTGACCCACCGACTACATGCAGGTTCTAGCCATGATCCTAGGCTGGAGGCATGAGGAGGTACCATATGGGAACCATAATGTCTGAGCCTCCCCCTTCCCCCGCACACCCTTGCCCCCACACCCCATGTGCGGGCCTGAACAACCACTCTGCTGCCTGACGGATCCTGCGATGTTTCCCAGGCAACTGTCTCATACAGCCTGTCTGCCTGGCACTCCCACACCCCATAAATGCCGCCGTGCCTGGCTCCAGGCAGCTTTGCCTGCTTGGCATACACAGACCAAACGCAGCCCGCTGCCTGACTCTGTCGCTTGGGCCTCTTGGACATCCTCACACAGCCGGTGAGCATTGCTGGGGTACCCCATGCAGCGAGTGTCCTGCCATTCTGCCATACAGAAGAATGAGGATAGCTGAGTAGCACCAGCATGTACCCAAGCGTGCTCACCTACCACGGGTCCCACTTGAAAGCTAGAGCCCGTGTTCCTTTCTGGGCTCGGTCACAGACAGATGCTGTCATGACCCACATATAAGGTAAATTAATGGTAAACCCGTCTCCAAGAAGGCAAGGAGGGTATAGAGAGCCGAGTAGAACTCGGACTACCCAGCAGCTGAAGACTGGGGGCCGATGGACCACTTCACCTAGTCTAGCAGCTGCTAAGCCCCTGTTAGTAGCAGAGACCAACCCTGGGACCAGCCTAGCATAGTGAGGAGTTAGAACCCTGTTAGCACCACCCTGAGAAAACGGCTGTGGAGACACCAACCTCAGAATCTCCTCATTTCTGAGACTAACTTTGGAGGGTGGAGTTTGGGCTCTTCCTCCAAAAAATATGGTCTGCCAGGGCTGTGGTGGCGCACGCCTTTAATCCCAGCACTCGGGAGGCAGAGGCAGGTGGATCTCTGTGAGTTTGAGGCCAGCCTGGTCTACAGAGTGAGTTCCAGGACAGGCTTCAAAGCTACAGAGAAACCCTGTCTCGAAAAACAAACAAACAAATAAACAAAAAAAAAAAACCAAAACCAAACAAACAAAATGTTTAATGGTGGACAAAGCCCAGGAGATGGAGGTCCTCACCGTGAGGCACTTTTTGGATGCAGGAGGCTTCATTGCTTCCCACACTGGAGAGCACTTTCTGCTTCCCCCGTGTGTCTCCTCCAAAGGGCTGAAATATCCTTTTGTAAATGTGAATTTTCGTCTCAAAACAAAGTTGTTTCTGCAGTGCAAGGGTCATTCCCAACCAGAAAAATTATTTTCCAATAACGTTAATCCCTTTTCACCACAGCACACGGCTCAGGAGATGGGTCTTCTCATCAAGTTCAACTTTTACTCTTTAATTGCTCCCCTCTGTGGCGGTGTGAGGATGGACATGAGCACCACAGGGCGGGCACTGAGGTCAGACGACCTCCCCTGGTCCTCACCTTCTTCCTTGTTTGACACAGTCTCCTCTTTGGTACTGGGTATACAAGGCTAGCTGGCTCAGAAGCTTTAGGGAGGGGCGTGGATTCTCCTGCCCCTGTCCCTGTCTCAGAGCAGCACTGGGATTACATACATACATACATACATACATACATACATACATTACATTACATTACATTACATACACACACTCATGCTGTCATGCCTGGCTTCATGTGGGCTCTGAGAACTGAACTCAGCTCCTTACCTTTGCACAGCCAGAAAGGATTTACCACACTGCTCCATCTCTCCAGACCCAATTCAACTCTTTGTTTGGTTTAATTTTTTGAGACAGGGTCTTTCTACAGAGCCCTGGCTGTCCTGGAACTCACTCTGTAGACCAGGCTGGCCTCGAACTCACAGAAATCCACCTGCCTCTGCCTCCCAAGTGCTGGGATTAAAGATGTGAACCACCACTGTCCAAATTCGACTTTTAAAGCCCGTTGTGATAATACTTTGCAGACAGCTGGGACAAAGTAGGTTTGTTGGGGTTGCCCGACACCCCTATTTCTGCCTCTTCAGGTTCTAAAAATGGTTGGATTGGGCCTAGAGAGACGACACAGTGGTTAAGAGCACTTGCCGCTCTTGCAAAGAACCTGGGTTAATTTCCCAGCATCCACGTGGCAGCGCACAACTCACCCCATATCTAGGGAACCAAGAACTTCTTTCGACCTCTGGGGGCACCAGACACATTTGGCATAAATACATGTATAAAGACAAAACAATGATACAGATAAAAAAATCAATTTTTTTTTCTTTAGAAATGGCTGGATCCTATAATTCCTGGGTGAACTCAAGCCTCAAGGACAGTGGTTGACAAGAGGGATTCAGATGTCGGCAGAGCTTCACTCGCTCGGCACAGAGCAGCAGACCTCCCTTTATTCCGTCCTCTGCCGAGGAGTTCCAGGTTGCCAGCCACAAGGCCTCTGCTGGCCCCTGCCCTGGTGGCAGTGAAGGAAGCGGGACAACCCGGGCGATGCAGCAAGTCCCAATAGAACAGCGTTTCACACCTGCCTGAGTGCCAAACCTGGAGGACCCGTGTTCTGCAGCTGGGGCAGGCTATCCTGGGGTCAGCGCCCCTTTCTTCTAACAGCCAAACGTCTATCAGAGCGCCAAGGCCGAAAGATAATGGGGTACCCTCACTCTCTGTGTCCTTAGCCTCAGGGTGCTTGAAGAGAGAACTCCTTCAGGTGTCTGCAGTTTGTGAGTAAATCTCCCTGGGTAGCCACACAGGCTCCGCCCCTGCTTCACGCTGACCCCCTGGGCCAGCTGGTGTTGCACCTGTGCAGGCAGTCAGGCCATCTGGGCTCTGTAGAGGAAGGGTATGGAAGAGGCTGGAATGCCGAAAATCTCAGAGAGGCCCCTGCGCTCTGGTTTTAGGGTGTGCCCGAGCTGGGCCTTCTTGCCCACACAGGGCCCTTTCAGCACTTGGCTGGGCACCCTCCTCAGGCCTTCCTCCTGCTTGGAGGTTGGTGCCAGACCTCCTAGAGTCCTCAAGGTTCCCTGCAAAAGTACAGTGATACTTTCATCAAAAGCTCAGGAGCCAGGTCAGTGGGAGCCAGGGCCAGGCCGACTGGAAGTGTTCCATCAGCATGCGCTTCTTAGACCTGGGACTCCTCACAACCGCCTTCTCACCTGGGTGGCCCAGTCCCAGGTCACCCCTGATGGTTCAACACGAGACCACCCCACCCTGGCCCTTCCTGCATGGGCAGCCATCTGCTGCACCTTTGGCCATCACTCTGGGTTCTTCAGCCTAGTAGAGGCAGGTTCCCAAGATGGCCACTCTCTAAAAAGACCTCAGAACAGAACCTGGTGTGTGATCTGGGATCCTTTGGAGATTAAACTTCTCATCCTCTTCAAATCTGCAGAGTCCAGAATCCATCCCCTGTTTCTAGGCTGGACCACACACGGTGGGGGTGACCTCGCCTAGGGATGGGAGGCAAGGTTCCGATGAGGGGAGAGCAAGGGGGAGGGAAGAGGATCTAGGAAGAGGGAGGGGTCAGGGAGTCAGATGGTTGCAGGACGGGGCTTTTGGAACAGCCCTGACCCCTGGGGGCTGTGGAGAAATAAAGCCACTAGTGTAAGCCAATATATACACTAAAGTCCCTGGGCGTCTGCTGCCACCAAGTGACGGACTGCAGAATTGCAGGGCGGGTTTATTGGCTGGATAGGAAGCCCGGGTTTCTGTGCTTGGTCCCTTGAGCTTTGGGGCTCCGTTGCCTCTTTGGTGGAGAAACCCAGGTCCTTCCATAATAAAAACAAAAATGGTGGTAAAGTTGGATCTGGAAGTCCTGTCCTTGGGCCCATCCTTGGAAAGGCTGCAGAACTGGAAACTGAGGCAGAGCATTGTCTAGTACCGCAGGGAGGTGACATGGGCAGGGCAAGCCTGACAGCTATCTGCACGTGCTGTTAACAGCAGGGCACACCAGGCTCCAGAGTGGCCTGCAACAGGGTCGGGTGGGCCCAGCCTTGCACGCCTGCAAGCTGGGGGGGGGCAGCTCTACCGTCCCGCCCCTCCCTCAAGGCGGCAGCGTAGCGCCCCCCAATAGGTTAGGATTCCGGCGCCTTAATTCTCAAGTGCCACAAAGGGGAGATGGCACTCGGCAGAGTGGGCAGTGTGTGTGTGGGGGGGGGGTCTGGAGGCCACAGGAGCTGGTCCGGGTCGGAGGGCGGGTCGGGTTGCACGTCTCACTTCCGCCGGACGCTCTGGGGAGAAGGATGGAGGAGGAGCAGAGGCTCCGGGGGAGGCTGAGCCGCCGCAGGCCGCCCGCAGGGGGCGGGTGAGGCGGGATGGAAGGGAGAGGGTGGGGGCGCTGGGGGTTCGGGCAGGCGGTGGGGCCGCGGGAAGACAAGGGGGGTACCGCGACTTTCCCGTCGAGGTGCGGGGTTCCTTGCACACTTGCACCCCGCCACTGTGAGGCCTGCCCCCAGCAACGCTCCGCCTTTCTCCGGGCGCGGTCGCTTCTTCCGCCCTACCCTGCGGTCCACCCCCCTCCCCCAACGCACACACAGCCCCTCCACCCCTCTTCCCGTCGCCTTTCGAGGCTCTCCCTGAGAGCCAGCCCCGGGCTCCATTGCCCCTAGAGCCCACTTAGCCTCCAACGTGAACTGCACTCCCTGGATCCCTTACTTGGGACTGCCCCCCTCCATGACTCCACCGTCGATTCCTTCCGCCCCTCTCCCCCAGTCTTGCTACCCCTCCCTGTAGAGCCCCTCGTGACCTCCCTTTCGGGATTCCCTGGCTGACACTTCTTGTGCTTCCCAGGGCCCCCAACTGCCCGCCCTGGTTTCTCTTGGAGGAGCGTCAGAGAGAGCCATGGGCTGCCCTGCTGCGTAGCACTGTGAGCGGGAACGTGGATTTGACCCCGAAAGTTGAGCCATTGCCACCACTGCCAGCTTTGCCCGGCCAGGTGTGTCCAGAAGCACTGAGGGATGTCGTAGGAGAGGGTTCCCAGGCCCTGGGGGAGGTCATGGTGTCGGCGGCTATGACCTCATGGGCTTCTGTTTTTCAGGAGTCTCTGTCTGACCCAGAGCCCACTGTGCCTCCTGAGGTCTTCTCTGTGGGATCCAAGACTTTTTCCTGGACGCCTTTTCCGCCTGCCCTTGGTGGTTCTGGAAACTCCTACGAGTTGTTCCACGGGACTGGAGGCTCCCTGGGGTCACCCACTCCATCCCTGAAAGGATATCCTACACCAGATTCCTGTCAGACTCCCAGCCCGGAAGAGTGTGTGTCCGTGCAGAGTCCACCCGTGTTGCTGAACTGCCCATTGTGCCAGAAAGCGTTTGACCCGAAGTGAGTGTTCCACCCCAGACATTAGGCTTAAGATTAGCCCGAGGTAAAACCTCCTGCTAGGGAGGCTGAGAGAGTGCCTGGATGTGGCTCTTTTTATTTATTTAACTAATTTTTTGTTGTTCTTTGTTTTTTTTTTTTTTTTTTTTTTTTTGAGATAGAATTTCTTTGTGTAGCCCCAGCTGTCCTGGAGCTCACAGCTGTAGACCAGGCTGGCCACAAACTCACTGAGATCTGCCTGCCTCTGCCTCCAGAGTGCTGGGATTAAAGGTGTGGGCCACCACTGCCAGGTTTATTTAACTAATATTTAAGTTAAAAATAGTTACATGTATGTGTCATGATACACATGCATGTGGAGGTCAGAGGAAAATTTGCTGAAGTCTGTTCTCACCTTTCACCGTGTGACCCTCGGAATTGAATTTACGTACTCAGGGTTGGCAACAGGTGCCTTTTCTTGCTGAGCCATCTTGCTAGCCCCCTTTTTTTTTTTTTTTTTTTTGACTCTCGGTGATGCTCTTTCTTCTGCCTCCCAAATTCTGGGATTTCAAAAATGTACCACCACATTTGGTTAGCTTTGGTTACTTAAAGTTACCCAGAAACTTGCAGAACTTGAGCCCACTGTTGCCGGCTCACAAGGCAGTGTGTTTTAGATGGTATTTAGCTGGGTGTACCTGTATTCCCTGTGTGACTGGAAAGGAAATGGATTCTCCCAAGTTCGCTGCTAAGTTGACAAAACCAGAAGTGAATCACAAAGTTAGCTTGGTTATCAGAAGATAAGGCAGGTGGAACCCTGGTTCAGAGCCCAACAGGTCCGCCAAATATTCTTTAAAATGATTTGTCCTGAGCCGTGAGTGTTGCCCACGCCTTTAATCCCAGCACTCAGGAGGCAGACGTCTGTGAGCTCCAGAACAGCCAGTGGTACGTAGAGAGGCCCTCTCTCAAAAAAACAAAGCAAACCAAAATGTTCTTATTACTGTTTGTGTGATGTATGTATATGTCCATGTAGGTTTGTGTGCAGATGTGCCCATGTAGATGGAGGCCACGTCAAGTGTTTTTCCTGACCACTTTTCACCTTATTTTTTTATTTTTAATTTTAAAAAAAAATTTATTATGTATAGTGCTCTGCCTGCAGGTATGCCTACAGACCAGAAGAGGGCACCAGACCTCATTCTGGATGTTGTGAGCCACTGTGTGGCTGCTGGAAATTGAACTCAGGACCTCTGGAAGAACAGCCAGTGCTCTTAACCGCTGAGCCATCTCTCCAGTCCCCTTTTGAATTTTATTCTTTCTTTCTTTCTTTCTTTCTTTCTTTCTTTCTATCTATCTATCTATCTATCATCTATCTATCTATCTATTTTTGGTTTCTTGAGACAGGGTTTTTCTGTGTAATAGCCCCAGTTGTCCTGGAACTAGCTGTGTAGACCAGACTGGCCTCGAACTCACAGAGAGAGATTCACCTGCCTCTGCCTTGCTAGTGCTGGGATTAGAGGTATGCGCTGCCACTGTCCAGCCCCACCTTATTCTTTGAGGCAGTCTCTCACTGAACCTAGACTCATTGTTTTGGCTAGGCTGGCCGGATGAGTTCCAGGGATCCATCCCTGTCTGCTGCCACCCCCAGTACTTGGGTTGTATGGCATTCTGCCAGTGCTTGCCCTTTTATGTGGATGATGTTTGCATAGCAGGTACTTACCTTATCAATGGAGCTGTTTCCCCAGCCTCCAAACTGTGGCTTTTTATCAGAATCAAGTCTTTATGAATTTGGGAGGGGCCCCAATCCCGGCCACATAGCTCAGACAAAGGGATGTTGGGTGTGGGCTGGCTCGAGTCAGGTTGTGGTTATCCCTGAGTGGGTCCTGTTTATGTGACAGTGAACGGTTTGCAAAGTCGGCATCTCCATGCTTCTTACCCATCAAGAGAACCAGAGGCAGAAGCTGGGGTTGGGAGCCCTTTTGGGAAATCCATTCTCGCAGAACCCGTGTGATCTTGCCAGGGTTCCCAGCCCCTCTCGTTCCAGGAGGGCTTTTTTGCCTGTGCCGTCTTTGCATTTGTAGGCTAAGACTCCTGAAGGCAGGACTACTGAAGGGGGAAGCTCTGCCCACTGGGCGCCTCTCAAGTGGCTGTCCAAAGTGGGTATCAACAAGGCAGGCTCAAGTCTGCAGTGACTATAACAAGCTGTTACATCAAACTATACAGCAGCTAGGATGTATTGGGCCAGCCTCGCTCCTGGAGATGGCAGCCACATCGTCGGGCTGCCTGGGGGGAACTCATGTCCCATGCTCTTGAAGGAGCCCCCTTTCATTTCTGCCCCTGTGCAGGATGTTGTCACAGTGGGCAAGACCCAGGCCAGGAGGCCGACTGGCGTTGGGTGGGTCAGCACCTAGACCCAGACTGAGCTGTCCTGTTGTCCCCTGAGGGCAGTCTGTGCAGCCATTGCTGCCCACCCTCAAATGAGCCTGGGATGCCCTTCAGGGAGGCCAGGTAGTCTTCTTGCTCAGCCTTCAGAGTAGCTGGGAAGATAGGTGTGTACCACGCCTGGCTCACAGCTGTGACTCTAATAGTTTGTTCATATTCCGATTCTGGGCCTGATGTCCCTGAATCGATCTGGTTAGCCATAGCCAGGATTCAGCTGTGGCTGGGAGTTAGCAGAAGCCCTGCTGTGAAAACAGCTCTGGAGGAATCCCTGAGAACCCACTTGAGGGATGCTGCCTGGGAACTCCCGACAGATGGCTGAGATGCACACGAAACCTTGACGTTCCTTGGAGAAAGCCAGAGGGAGGAAGTGCTAATACCTTGGTTAGATTGGCCGAGGGGCTCTCAGGGACTTCAGAGATCATTTGTCGGGGACTGCCAAGTTAGGGGGCCACTGGATGTCACGGGAACTGGGACTCAGGCGAGGGACCTTGCTGTCCGTCCATTCTCTGTTGTTCATCTTAGGGGAGGTCTGTTTCCATTCTAGCATGGATCCGGGCGGACTAGGATGAGGTGAGCAGGCCAAGGCCTGGGGTGCCGTGACGGCAGGTAATGGGCATCAGGTTGGCCAGCAGAATATCCAGAGGATACTCAGGACTTCTGTGGGCAAGCTCACCAGCCTCAGACATTCAAGCTGAGCTGGCTGCTGCGAGAATTCTTTTCTTTTATTGTGTGGGTTCCGGGATTGAACTCAGGTCATTGGTCGCCATCTTGCTAGCTCCAGAGAGTCTTTGGGTCTAGCTTTTGGCATGGCCAGGACGAGTGATCCAACAGATGAGGTGGGAGCTTCTCAGACATTGGTTAGGGTAGGAGTCTGTAGGACCAAGAATCTCTTATGTAAAGAAGGGTTTTCAGGCAACAAGGAAGGCCTAACTCAACCCTACTGACTGTTTCCTCCAACTGACTAGCCATGGAAGAGTCCAGGACTCTCCTCAGTGGTTCAGAAATAGGTGGAGTTGTCAGGCGGTGTTGGCGCACACCTTTAATACCAGCACTCAGATGGATTTCTGTGAGTCCAAGGCCAGCCTGGTCTACAGAGCGAGTTCTGGGAGGCCTTGCAACTGTTTCCTCCCTCTTACAGGCTAGCCCAGCTGGATGTGGATAGCCACCTTGCTCAGTGCCTGGCTGAAAGCACAGAAGACGTGGTGTGGTGATGTGACTGCTGGGACGTGTCCGAGTGGACATCTGAGCACGTGGGCACCGAGAATAATGCTGATCGCTATGGTGCAGACAGCAGCAGGTCCCTACCACAGTTCCTCTCATTGCCGACTTAACTGGGTTTGGAATCACCTATCCGACAGACCTCAGGCTGTGTCTGTGGAGCTGTCTCCAGGGATTAACTGAGAATGGAAGACCCACCTTGGATGTGGGTGGTGCTGTCCTGTGGCCTGGGGTCTCACTGAATGAAAAGGGAAAAAGGAGAAATTGAGCTGCTTCCTGACTGGGGACGGATGCTCTTCTGACCTGGCCACCAGAGCTACAGCAGCATTTGCTGCTGTGCCTTCCCTGCCGTGATGGACTGCACTTCAGCCGTGAGCCAGAATAAATCTTTTCTTAAAAAATTATTTATTTATTAATTATGTATACTACATTTTGCCTCCATGTATGCCTGCAGGCCAGAAGAGGGCACCAGATCTCATTACAGATGGCTGTGAGCCACCATGTGGTTGCTGGGAATTGAACTCAGGACCTCTGGAAGAGCAGCCAGTGCTCTTAACCACTGAGCCATCTCTCCAGCACCCCCGAGTAAATCTTAAGTTGCTTTGATCAAGTATTTTGTCATAGCAAGAAGAACCCCACCCAGGCAGGGAAGCCAGGCTCTGTCACGAGGCAGAATTGGGTATCTCTACCCAAGTCAGCATTTATACACAGGTAGTGCCCTTCTCCTGACTAAGAGTGACATACTGGATTACATTCCACAGACATTAATAATAATAATAATAATAAAAGCTAATGATGTGTATTCGTGTGTCTGTGTGCATGTGAATATGGTTGCCCAGAGGCCAGAGGAGGGTATTGGATTCCCTAGAGCTGTAGTTATGGGCAGCTTTGAACTGCTGGGAACCAAACTTGGGTCCTTTGCGAGAGCAGTGTGTCCTAACCATTGAAGCCTGTCAGTAGCCCCAGTCACGCTTTTACTTCCTCAAATGCACTCAGCTCTCCATTCAGAAACAGTGCTGCAGGCTGAAAGCTTCGCTCTCACCTAGGGACAGTGCTGTGGAGATGGAGTCCTAGGGAGGTGACAGGTCATGAGGGCCAAGCAGCCTAGCAGACAGGAACCCCAGTGGACATGGACCACCACCAGAACTCGGTTGGCTCCTTGGTTTCCAGGACCAACCATGTTGGAAGCATGGTGTCTACCTATGGCACGGCATTTGCTCAGCCTGAACCAACAACCCCTGGTTCTAGTAGGACACTGGGCGGCAAGTTATGTGTCGTGGGCAGCTAGATCTGACTTCCACAGCATGTGGGGTTTCTGCAACCCTACCTACCACTAAGGGGCGGGGCTCAGAGCACTTCACTTCACATCAAATCGGTTCCTGAAGAATGGAATTTAAGGGAGCGCTATGGGCCACATCTTGCCACCCACACGTGAAATGTGGCTGACATACAAAAGCAAATTTAGTTTTTTTTTTTTTTTTTTTTTGCTAAAGTCCAGATTCTAGATAGGAGCTCCAATACCAGCCTGGTACCCTTCCTTCCCCCTTTGTGTTTTGAACTCACTGTGTGGCTGAGGACAACTTGATTTTCCTGTCACTACCTTCCAAGTCCTGGGATTACAATGTCCACTACTAAATTTGTTCGTGTCTGACCTTCTTGTCTACGGAAACTAGCCTGAGGTTAGCGGTAGGTGTGGCTTGAAAGCTCGAGTTAACCAGAAAATCCGTATTTTCCTTTGAAGAACGGTGGTTTCCATGAGTTGGATGTGGTGGCCACGTGGAGTCTCAGCACTTGGCAGGGGAGGCAAGGGAGTTCACGTCTCCTAGGAGAAATACAAAACCTGGAGCTCTGATGTGAGTGGCTGGACGGCATCTATTTAGGAGAACACGTCTCACCTGGTCCTGTGAGGCTTACACCCGTCTTTGAAAACACCCTTCCAGATACCCCAAAAGTGTGTTCCCGGTTTCTAGAAACTCCTAATCTAGTCAGGCTGGCCTTGTTCTAACTGCAGTCCCAAAGCTGTAACCCGAGAAAGTAAAACTACACGAGACAGCACTGGACGTGCGGCAGTGGAGACTGAGGCTATAGTCAGACTCGGGGGGACCTCAGGAGGAAAGAGAATGAGAAATGGGAGTCTTCAGTTGTGAGGACAGACTCACTTCACGGGGATGGCGACAGTGGCACTGAGTATCTCGGACACTCACTTGTTCTTCTGTTTTGTGTTGTGAGCCTAGATGTCTTCTAGGAAGGTTCTTCTAGGGAACAGAGTAAAACCCTTCACCCTCCCCAGACACCTACGTGGAACACAATAACAGTAAGGGCGTTTTCATCAAAGTCTTTAATAGATGTGCAAGAATACGAACGACCTTGGCCATGGAGGGCGAGAACAGCATCCACAGGAGGAACTCCTGCCGGCGATGGGCTCCACCCATCAATTGTACAAAACCACATGGTTACGGTTACTGATTTACAATCTTTGAGAGTCTCCAGTGTGTTTGCAAACCATTGTTAAAAGACACGCGCTCTCTTGCCCGGAGCCGTTTGCAAACGTTAGGGTATTTCCCACCCCACCCCCCAGTCACATTTCAATACATCCTTCACTTTCTTTAGTTTATAAAACAAATTACTATATATAAAAATCTCCCCTTCTGGTGGGCACAATGTTATTCACACATTTGTACATGAGCAGCCGAACCAGTAACCAGTAAGTCATTTGGCAATAGGGCAGTATCCAAGTATACACCCCCATTTCTAACAAACCAAGGGCCCCTGTGCTGTTTGGGTAAAAGGAGTTGTTGCTATCCCTAGGCAGCACACTGGGAGGAAAGGAGCTAGCAGGAGCCGGTTTGCTCTTGGACCACTTGTGGGCTCTTCATCATAGCAGTGTGGCTCATAGGCAGGTGTGACTGCACAGCCCTCAGATTGGGGCTCCAGCCACCTGGACATCCCCAGGCTGGGCTGGGCACCACTGGGAGGCCCAAACATTGGCTCTTAGGCTGTGTTTGCATTTTTTTTTTTCTGACCGGTTGCTGGGAGTTAGTCTTACTGATGGACACTAGGAGTGCTGGTTGAAATGTGTCCACGTTCAATGGGTGTTACAGAGCTACCCAGAAGCCTAGGCCGTCTGCTCTGTCCCAGCACCTGGGTGTGGCTCTGATGTGTTCAGCGCCAGACATGGCGATGGCCTGAGAAACCTGAGTGCATTGGGGCGAGGGCTGTGGGCGGCCACGGGGCAGCATGGCGGACAGCGCCTCTGAGTTTTCATTTTCTCTGACTTCGATTTTCAACGGGGCCGCCAGCCCCCAAGGACTGCATGAAGCAGCCATGACTGGACTCGACCCTGCCTCACGTGGAGATGCCAGGTCTCGCTCTGGCAGGGTTGGGGGTATGTAGCCTGTTTGCTACCTGGGTCAGCCTGGCTCGGGGAGACCTGGGGTGCTCCGTCACTGTAGTGTGGCGTCTCTGTCTCCTGCCCACTACCAAGGTGCTTAAATGATGGCTCCTGACACACCTGACCTGAGGACTTAGCTAACCTCTTTCCAGAAAGCCTTGGGCTAGCCTCCTGACTGCCTCTAATCTGAGGAGGAGGATGGCCGAGCACAACAGTTATAGAAGCGGGCATGCTTCCTCAGTAAGAGTACAGGATTATGGGTATTCTGTCACGTTAAGGCTAGGGTCCGTCACACATGTCTTTAAATTTTTCTAATCTGGAGTATTAGTGATAAAAATATTTTCCAAAAAATCTAATGTATAACACAAGACATCTTGGAGGCACTGGCTAGTGTTTTCAGAAATATATTTTTTTTTTGCGGATTTAGTTTTCAATTATTCTTTCCCTTTTTATTTATTTACCTATTTATTTGGTTTTACTGGTGCTTTGGTAAGCAATGTTTTAGAATCGCTATAATCCAGTTTCCCCCATCAGAGTCCACAGGGCCGGTGGGAACAGCACCACCAACCTGGCCAGGATGTCACTGCAGCCTTGGACTACCATGGCTAGCTGTGCTGGGTATGAAAATACATGTTAAATATTAACAACAGAACTTACCGGGATTTAGAAAAACGTTCCGAATCTGTAACAATTCTCGTTGCAGTGCATTCCTGCAGGCACTTGGGTGCCCGTCCCCTGCCTACGTTCTGCCTGCTCGGAACAAGCAGCTCCTCCTCACGTGGGGGCTGCGCTGGGGACGTCAGGCGGGTGCCACTCAGAAAAAAGGCAGCAGAGGAAGCTTCGACATCATCGGTACATTTTATTCCTCAGGGCATTACACGCTAACTTTCCTGGAGCGGGTCAGTGCATCGAGTTCTGTTTCTGTGGAAAATGCGCACCTTCGAAACGGCGTGACTGTCTTGCCCTCTGGTAGGGCTGCCACGGGCACAGGAAGCTATTCCTCCAGCACAAAGCCAGCCTCTGGGGCCTGGACACAAGAGACTGCTCTGTCCAGAAGTGCCTGCTGGGTGCCCCTCTGAGGTCTCGGTGGCCAGCATCCCTCCTTGGCTGCTCGGAGCCTCGTGCCCAGCCTGGCATGCATATGCTGTGGTTAAGGGTAAAGTGACATGGTCATTCACAGGCGTGTCCACAAGGGAGACGCTCATGGCCTCACACGGACTCCTCAGCAGACAGCAGAAGCGGGTTGATGTACTCAAAGCCTTCAAACTCAGACTGGTCAATCCTCTTTATGACGTCCCTAGGAGCACAGGGAGGAGGTGAAGGGTGGCTCCCGTGTCCCCTCCCTCAGGTACCATCCTTCCCACCGACCCACGCAGCAGAAACAGGGACCCAGGTCTGGAGCCTTGCAGGGTCCTGCCCGGGACTTACTCGTCATCTGGAGTCAGCTGCACAGGCTCGCTGGTGAACTGCGTATCAAAGTTGTCCAGGCCATAGTCATCTGTGATCTGGGGCTGGAAGGGAGGCAGGGCCTGCTTCTTTTCCAGCTGAGAATATCGACAAGGGCGTCGTGTCAGACAGTGAGATGGCCAGATGGGTGTCAACACCCTCTGCCCTCTTCTCGTCTTTGTATGCACGTAAATCACGGAATAAAACGGGAAGCTCAGCTTTTCAACACGCCTGGCATTTCGATGCCAGCCCCGCCCCCGTCAAAGTATAGAATCTAGGAGAAAATATCCAATGCCAGGAAAAGTCTACTTCAGTTAAAAAGTGATGGATGTACAGGCCCTGGAGACATGTGCCAGGGGAACAATGTTACTGCCAGTGGCTGGGAGCTTGCTTGCTCTCTCTCTCTCCCTCCCTCTCCTTATTCTTTTCTTTTCTTTTTTTTTGTTTTTGTTTTTTTGTTTTTTGGGTTTTTTTTTTGAGACAGGGTTTCTCTGTGTAACTTTGGTGCCTGTCCTGGAACTAGCTCTTGTAGATTAGGCTGGCCTCAAACTCACAGAGATCCGTCTGCCTCTGCCTCCCAAGTGCTGGGATTAAAGGTGTGCACCACCACTTGGCTGAACAGCTGTATTATAAATTATAAATACCACCACCCGGCAGGATTGGCTATTTATAATACAGCTGTTTAGCCAGGTGGTGGTGCACACCTTTAATCCCAGCACTCGGGAGGCAGAGGCAGGCGGATCTCTGTGAGTTCGAGGCCAGCCTGGTCTACAGAGTGAGTTCCAGGTCAGCCAGGGCTACATAGAGAAACCTGATCTTGAAAAACAAAAACCAAACAACTAAAATATATAGCTGTTCTTCTTTATCAAGCCGGGTCCTTGGATCACACAGGGGCAACACAGGTAGGGTATTTCTGAGCATTCATTCGGCTCTTCCAGGGGAAGGTGGGTGACAGTTGGTCCCAGAACAATGTATGTATCTGTCCTATGAGCTTCACTGCCCTGCCTGAGCTAGGGCTGCAGGCCTTGAAGAGACTGCATGCGTCTGCACTTGACCTCACATGTGGCTGGCACGGGAGCTGATGTCTAACACTCCTCTAGTCTATCTGATGCTGGCTCTGGGGTGGGACCAGTGTATTGGTTATAGCTGCTTCTCTGTATTCTTAGAAACAAACCTCACCCAACAATGGTGCACAGCATGCATGGGTGGGTGAGTCAGAGAGTAAGCAAGAAAAATGGATGGAGGTGTGGAGAGCGGCTGGATTCATGGCTGAATAAGAGACTAAGAGCAAGCGAGGGTCCCAGCCTGCTAGGACAAGAGAAGACCCGGGACTGCGTAGCCTGTGAGGTTTGTCCTTGTGTTCAAAGGGCGACTCTCTACCTCTAGTGAGGCACAACGGGAGTCAGTTCCCAGCACTGCTGTGGGCAGGGAGATCAGCAGAGAGTACGTGGATGCACAGGCCATGCTGACTTTTAGTGTCCAAGCAAAGAAATGCCCCCAAAGGCCAGGAAGGCTGGGCAGTGAGGGGAGCTGGTCCTATTCAGTCTTAAGGGCAGGGAGGCCCACAGCAGCTGTGACCCCATTTCTGATGCCCCCACCTGGCCATGGTTCCCACAACTGCCTGTTTGTCCCTGGAGCCCCGTGCCTGGGCCTTCAATGGGTGGCCCTTTATCCTATCCCCCTAGATCTTCCTTTCTTTTCTCTCCTGGCCACAGGCACATGCCACAACCAAGGACTCGGTCCTTTCCTTTTTCTTTGGCAGGTTGCCTGGGAAACCAGAGGGTTTTGTGACAGACTGTCCTCCTACTTGCTTCCCTCTCTGGAGTCTCTCTCCTAGAAGCCTTGGACCTATTATTTAAACTTTAAAATATTACATTTATTTAACTGTGTGTGAGTGAGTGGGCATGCACGAGCCAGAGGACGACTTTCAGGAGACAGCGTTCCCATTTCATCCTGGAAGTCTAACCCAGGCTGTCAGCTTAGTGGGAAGTACCCTTACCCGCGGACTGGTCCGGGCCCATTTAATTTGCCTGACAGGGGGAAGGAGTGGAGGCCATCAACTTCCTGTCAGCTCTCACTGGTCAGGTCTCGCTGATGTCAAGAAAGCTTGTTTTAGCCACACTCTGACTCACTCCTCAGGGTGGACTTGCCATGGCACCTGCCAGTAACCCGGAACACAGTAGGTTTGATGGCAGGGGGTAGCAATGCCCAGATGGCTGCTTCAACTCTGTCCGGTTCATGGTGGGTCAGGGATTTGCAGCCGTTGGAAAGATCCGACATGCTGTTGAACCATGTCTGACGGAGCACCAGACACGGAGGGTCTGTGGATAGACCCTTGTGGTAAGTAGCCGAGCCAAGTTTCCAAAGGGAGTCAAGACTTTGCTGTATAGACTCATTTCTCTCAGAACCAATCTACTGACCAGTCACAGCCCTGCCTGGGACTGTGTCCAACAACTTTCCCATGGTCTTCATGCCTACCATCTAAACCTTCTGGTGGAGACTTGGCGGCGGAGGGTGTGCCGGATGGCCCGTGAGGGACTCTGTGTGCTCAGTGGAGCATATGCTCCTATCCTTACATCCCAGAGGGGGGCAGGAGGACTGGCCCCACAGGTCATCCCTGTACCCCTAGAGATAGATGGCTGGCAGGTGACTCCCTTCTGACTGTCTCTCTCTCCAGAGCAGTGGAGGGGGATGGGAGACGAGCCCACGGCTAAGGTCCAGGGAGGACCCTGAACACCAAACTCTAGGGTGGGTGGCCGCTGCTGTGAGGCTTAAAGGCTCTGGTAGCGCAAGGTCACTATCAGGGATGGTTTGCCATGCAGACGGTAGTTCTCAGATCAGCCAGCCACTGGGGTAGGCAGATGTATCTCTGTCCCCAGAAGAGGGTCTGTCTGTCTGTCTGTCTGTCTCTCTCTCTCTCTCTCTCTCTCTCTGAGACAGGGTTTTTCTGTGTAACAGCCCTAGCCGTCCTGGAACTAGCTCTTATAGACCCGGCTGGCCTCAAACTCACAGAGATCCGCCTGCTTTTGCTTCCCAAGTGCTGGGATTAAAGGCGTGCGCCACCACTGTCCAGCTGAGGGTCTCATTTGTATCTCTACCCACTAACATTCATCAAGACCACCCCCCTGGACTTGTCTGAAGCAGAAACCTTGGATTCAGGTGGAACCTTCCCTCCCCCAGTCTGTGAGGACAGCCAGTGTTATGACGATTTGAGCCTGTCATGATGCCCTCTGCCCCATGGCACTCAGGATGGAGGATGGTCCTGGGGGACCTTAGAACAGGCTGTGCCATAGGAACAGTGTTAGTTCAGGGAGGAGGCAGGTGTAGTGGGCTGGCTCCTGCCAGTCTACCAGGCTACTCACAGGGACCTTACCGCATAAATAAGCCATTCCAGAGCCTGGATCTCCTCAGCTCTGGCGTCCCAGAGTCTCAAGTTACAGGAGTTTGGGTGTCTCCTGTCTCTCAAAACCCAAGCCCACAAGGGTCAAAAAAAGGGGGGAGAGGGGAGGACACCAGGGACAAGCCTGGCTTCCCTCTGGCCACATAGCCTTTAATCCCTGAAGGAGACCCATGCCAGCTGGCTTTGTGCAAATCTTAAGAGAATGGCAGAGGTGGCCTCAGGTCCAGGAATGTGGACGCAGCAGTTACCACCATGGCCGCCCTGATGGCGCTGACAGGAGTGGGTCGGCGAGGGGAGGACTGGGTGGGCGAGGGGAGGAGGGCTGGGATTAGGGGCCTCTCCAGCGCTATCACGGGGGCTCACAGCAGGGCCCAGTTCCGATTCTCCTTGCTGTCCACATCTGTCTCCTCCTTCACAGCACCAGACCTGCACCAGGGACCAGCATCCTGAGTTCCACAGTTACATCTCTAGACCTGAGCTCCCACCTCAGACGAACAGTCCCGACACTGTAAATCCCTGGAGCTGCTGCTGGGCTGTGCAGTCCTCAGGTCCTAAGAAGTCGTGGGATACAGCCCCTCACGAGGCGGAATACCCAGTGACCGCCTGGACAGTGGCTCATCTAGAGGAAGATCCCCCAGAAAACTAGACAAGAGCCCCAACAGACAGGCTGTGCAGGTCGCTCAACAATCTAAGAACCAGAAGTGGGCCCTGCCTACGGGACCACCAGTGGGCGAGTGGACAAACACGTGGTCCATCTGTGCAGTGCAACACCAGATAACTGTGAAGGCATGTAACATGTTTATCACCACGACAAAGATGATCCTGGAAAATGCTTCACTGAGCGGAGCGTGCCATAATGCAAGGTCACCTCCTGGATGGACCTCCTTTCAAGGCAGAGTTGCACAGTTGGCTACGGCCAGGGAAGGGGATGGAAGGATAGATGTGATGACCCATGGCACGAGTCTGCTGGGCTGGGGTGGAGAGGCTCTGTGGTAAGACCCCAGGCCCACAAGATGCACTAAGAACCACTGAGCCACGGGGATGATGCAGAGGAAGACCTCCTCCCCTCTTGCTGCTCAGAACCACTTGGCTAGCCGGCCTAGAGGCAGCTGGGCTGAAATAAGACACTGTTTATACCACATCCACTCTCTTATGGTGAGGCAAGGGTGATCGGAGACGAAGGCCTGGCGGCTACTGATGCCATGTGGGAGGCCAGGGCCAGGGCCAGAGGAAGAACTCAGATTCTACAGGCTCAGAAGGGGCGGGCCATGGCGAGGCAGGCTCAGAGGAGGAACAAGGATGCAGGATTCTCCCTGTACCCCACTCTTAGATCTGACTCCGTGTCAGAGTGGGGGTGATGGGTTTCAAAGACTGGGGAGGCAGTGAGCCTGTTGGTAACATTTGCCACTACTGGGCCTGGGCCAAGACTGAGTTAGAAAGAAACCCACGGCTTCCCTCTGATGCTACCAGAGCTAGAAAGTGAAATTAAAAGCTGATAGAATTGGTTCTTAAATATCAAGGCGAGTGAGATGGTTCAGCAGATAATGGTGCTTGGTGCCAAAACTGACGGCCTGAGTTTGTCCCTAGACCTATATCGTGGGAGGGGAGAAATGACTCTCAAAAGCTGTCTTCTGAGAACCAACTCTCAAAAGCTGTCCTCTGACCTCCATATGACACACCCACACACCACACACACAGACACCCCCCAGATACACACACACACACACACACACACACACACACACACACCCCAAGTTAAAAAACATCAATGCACCGAATAGACATTTACACCCAAACAAGGGAGTGAACGAGAGGTTCTGGTTTTGCGGCTCTAGAAGGGCCATGGGTTGTGGGCATCGCCTGTCCTGACCACTTGCTGCCCCTGCAGCCTGGCCCCTCCCCGTTCCGCACAATACGCTAGACACAAACAGTCCTGTAAATAGAGTGACTAGTTGTACCAGGTAGTGGTGACCTATACCCTTTGATTCCAGGGGCAGGCAAATCTATGAGTTTGAGGCCAGCCTGGTCAACACAGAGAGAGAGAGAGAGAGAGAGAGAGAGAGAGAGAGAGAGAGAGAGAGAGAGAGAGAGAGAGAGAGCGCGAGAGCGAGAGAGCGCGAGCTGCAGGACAGCCAGGGGTACACAGCGAAACCCTGTTTTGAAAAACAAAAACAACAACAAACACGTGGCTGGTTAAATGATAAGATCCTTCCCCGGGGATCAGACGTTAGTGCTGGCTGCGGGCGTCTGAAAAGGTCAAGATGGGTTTGGGGAGGAGGGTGTCCAGTGTGCCACAGCCGGGCAAGTTCCAGATTTACTCAATGGGTTAGCTTTTATATTTTCCCTCAAAAGGGTGTATTATTTCGACACAGGGTTTCTCTGTGTAACAACCCTGACTGTCCTAGAACTCTGTAGACCAGGCTGGCCTCAAACTCACAAGAGATCCGCCTGCCTAATATCAGGAATGGACGCGACTCAGAAGCTTGAAGTCTGTGCCTGCTGCCCTGCCAGTAACTAGTGATACAGATGGGGTTTGGGTAGCTTTGGGTAACTAACCACACCAAAGAAAGTGCCCTCGGGGCCCAGGCACCCAAGTGCACACGGGGCCACTGTGGCTTCGGGTGCGGCCCGTCTCACAGGATGGGCACAAGGACCCTCCCGAGGCTTACCAGGTCCCAGTCTATGCTGCGGAAGAAGGCATGGGACTTGATGTCAGAAAATCCAGTCTGCGGCCGGCAGCCAAGCCTCTCTTTGGGATCCTGGGGGGTCAGAGTGCAAATAACGGTGAGTCAGGACTCCCAAGAAAACCCCTGATTCAGCCCCTACCCAACGGGATGACCCAGCTTCCCCCACGGGAGCTCACTGTCTCCAGCCGCCCTCCTGTCCTGTGGGGTGTGACCGTCCCTCTGTTGGGATTCCCTTCCCCAAAGGGCTAACACTGTTTGTTATGCTAAGGATCAATAAAAATTAAACTCACTGGGCGGTGATGGCACATACTGTTAATCCCAGCATTCAAGAGGCAGAGGCAGGAGGATCTCTGTGAGTTCAAGGCCAGCTTGGTGTACAAAGAGAAACCCTGTCTTGAAGAAAAAAAAAAAAAAGAAGAAGAAAAAAAAAGAAGCAAACTTTGGACTCTCATTCTTTTGGGGTTAGAGATATGGCTCTCTGTGGTTAAGAGCACTGGCTGCTCTTCCAGAGGACCAGGGTTCAATTCCCAGCACTCACATGGCAGCTCACAACTGTCTGTAACGCCAGTTCCAGGGGACCAGACACATCCATAGTACAACACCAAAGCACATGAAACAATAAATAAGTAATAAAGTCTCTGGGCGCAGAGAGCCCCAGTGCCAACGCCTATGACCAATCACAGAGAACAGCTTCGGTAGGGGGATTCTGCCCACCCGCTCCCTCCCAGAGTATTCTGTCACCACGGCCAGAGCATACCTTATTTAAAAACCCTTTCAGGACGTGTGAGGCCTTGACAGACAGGAAGCGGGGGATCCGGATTGGCTTTTCCAGGATCACTGTGTGGATAGAACCCAAGTGAGATGACCCTTGGCAGTGTTCACTCTTCCCGGAAGCCTACAGGACTCCTGAACTCTGTTTGTTTGTCTTTTGGTCCCAGACACGTGGAGGCCTCTGCACCGGTCACCAGAGGGCACTGAGGGACAGCCCTGAGGGGCATACTAAAGGCCATTAACTCTGGGCAGGAGTAAGGTGTGTGTGTGGGGGGGTGGGGGGTGGGAGGAGGTGGCTGCCAGGGGCCACAGGGAATGAACCTGGCTGGGCAGAGGGGGGCTCTGGCTACATCAGAGCATTCTCCTTCTAGGTGACTGACGGTGAACTATGGTCACCTCACCACATTCTCTGCCGGAGGAACAGCTCTGTGCAGGCTTCACCAACTGGGCACCACCTCCCATCCTCACCTTTGAGAAGAGAAGAAAAAGGGGTGGACACGCTGCGGGCCACCAACCTTGGAAAAGGTAATCTTCAGTGTTCATGTCTGGGTTGTCCGTGATGATATCGAAGGGGGAGCGTCCAGCCATCATCTCAAACATGAGGACGCCCAGCGCCCACCAGTCCACGCTGAACCCTGGGGAAAAGTGGGCAGTCACTAGGCGGGAGGTAGCTGGGAAGCTGACACACTCAGCCCGTGACTGTGAATGTGCCAAAGGATGCGGCATCCATCTCTGCGGGCGGCTGGACCGCAGGGCATCTGTTTCCTTAGAAGCTGCGGAGCTGGCGCGTGGCTGTGACTCCTCCAGCTCACGGTGGGTTACCCCGGCTGTTACCCCGGCCCGCCAGCTCTGCTGGGATGGCTGCACAAACATGCAGAATGGGTCCAAGAACAAACCCTGCTTTGCTCCGGTCATTACTGTTATTCTATTATTATTATTATTATTAGGCGGATCTTGCTGGCCTTCAAACTGTGACTGCTGCCCCAGGCTCTGGAGTGCATGCCACCATAACCGGCTTTCTTCTTGTTTTCATTTAAGGTTACAAAGTCCCCTTCTCGGGCTGGAGAGATGGCTCAGTGGTTAAGAGCACTGTCTGCTCTTCCAGAGGTCCTGAGTTCAATTCCCAGCAACCACATGGTGGCTCCAAACCATCTGTAAAGAGATCTGGTGCCCTCCTCTGGCGTGTAGAGGCAGAAAGTTGTATACATAATAAATAAATCTTAAAAAAAAAAAGCTAATCAGAAATAAATATATTAAAAAAGTATTAAAATTTATAAAAAAAAAAAAGTCCCCTTCTCACTGAGGAGCGCAGCTCAGTAGGAGAGAGCTCTAGCTTCAATCTCCAGTGCTGCCCAAACAGAACCGGCCGGAACCCACTTCTCTGAGGTAAGAATCAGTTTGCTATAGTCCCTTCTGCCTTCACTACTTTTTCTTCCTTTGCCTTTTTTCAGCTCTGTCCTAGACAGCCTGGCCATCCCTGTGGTCTCTGAACATCTGCTCCACCACACATAGAATCAGGTTGGAACCATGGCTGGTTCAAGACTGGTTTCTTGCTCCAACCTGCCATCTTTCCTTCTCTGGTTCCTGAGCAGCTGCAACTGCAGCAGCTTCTAGGAGCCCAGTCATTCTCTCGGGACAGTGATCTGCACACGCTGCCAGCACACTCATTTATGGGAAGGTGCATTTATGACTGCTTTCACCAACGCCACCAACATGAGTCAGGGATAGATAGCACATGTCTGTAATCCCACCTGCGTGACAGAAAACTCTAGGATGCAAAGGTGTGTGGGTGCACAAGCACACACATACCATGTACATGTTCATACGTAATGCACATGCACACACCTCCTGCATGCTATATACTCTCCCCTACCACGTGGATGTATATGTACCTGTGTATGCATGCCACCCCATCTCCACACATGGCTATGTATGATGGCTTCCACTCAGAGAAAGAGGAGGAGCAGACGTATACCATTGTGTCTACAGGGTTTCCCGGATCGGTCGCCCTCTGCTTTGGATCCTGACTGGGGCACTTCTACCATTCCCAAGGATACTTTGATTCTTCTACACACGGATGGCCAGTGGCCGTCAACCTGGGGGCCTGTCTTGTCTTTGTTTCAGGCTCCTTTTCATCCTCCCCACCCTGGCTCGCCAGGGAGAGGACATTGTTCAGGGTCACCTGGTGGGCTTGAGAAGGTGTGAAGGGGGTAACAGGCGTCAGGGAGACACCAAGGGGTGTGGTGTGTCGTCTCTGGGTGTCACATGGCTATAGCGCTCTCCCTGCCTATTGTTGACAGGGCGGGTTCCTGCTCCGGGTGAACATCGCCAGGTGGCAGCAACTTCCGTAGCGTGTCTGCCTACATTTACCTCCTATGGGCCCCTGTACTCACCGTATTCTTCTCCTCGCAGGATTTCGGGGGCAATATAGTTCGGGGTTCCACAGAAGGTGCTTGTTGTGTCGCCGGGGCCTAGGCCCTCCTGTGAGGACACAGTTATCAGGAGGGCGACCCTCGTGTGCAGTGGCGCCCCTTAGGAGTGACCGGTTACGGGCAGGGGTGCCTTGGCTGAGCTGTGCCCAGTCGGGATGACAAGGGCAGACAGGCAAGGCGGGGGACGGGCGGGGCGGGCACCTTGCACATGCCGTAGTCCGTCAGCTTAATGTGTCCGTCAGCATCAAGGAGGACGTTGTCCAGTTTCAGGTCCCGGTAGATGATCCCTCTCTCATGTAGGAAGTTGAGAGCAATACAGATCTCAGCAGCATAGAACCTGAGGTGGGGGCATTCTGCAGTGAGCAGAGGGACTGTGGCAGCCAGCCAGCCAGGGAGCTGGCACACACAGAGCCCCACAATGCATCCTGGTCACCAGGGAAATGCAAATTTAAATTATAGTGGGAGTCTACCTCCTAGCCACCAGAATGTCTATTTAACACGACCAGAGTTAAGTGGTGAGGACGTAGGAAGCTGGAGCCCTGAGTACCACTGTATGGATTCACTGAATGAAAAATGTGACCCTCAGAACATGAAAACTGGGGCTGAGTGCCACTCGATGGGAAAGCTCCTACCTAGCTTCATCAGTATGGTATCCAGCACCAAAACAATCATGAAAAAGAGAGAGAAGACATGCTAAATACCTCTACTACTGCACATGTGTCCAGGGCTGGAGACAGCAGAGGACCAATAAGAACAATGTATATGTGAAAAATGCCATTATGAAGTCTATTACTTTGTATGCTAACTTAAAAAACCGAAAGTAAAAAAAAAAAAGAATTGTAAGCAGGGCCTTAAACACGTATGTTTAATACCTATGTCCACAGCGACCCTATTCATAAAGAATAAAATGCGGAAGCAAGCACTGACGGGGGAGTGGACAGAGGACACGTGGGTGGGGAAGGATGGCTCATGGCTGCAAGTCTGAGGCCCGTCTAGGTAACAGGAGAAAGAGATGGCTACACAGTGAATCACCACGGAGACATTGTATCCAGTCATATAGAAAGACAGGTAGCCTGAGATTCCTCTCAGGGAGGACTCTGGACTCAGACAGAGGGAGGGAGGTGCCAGGGCTGGGGATCAGGAGCCTGGGAAGTCACAGGTAGGGTACAGGTTCCGTTGTGGGAGATAAAGAGGGGCTCTGTGCATGGCGGCTGTGTGGCGGTGTGGTCAGCTTTACGGCTCTGAACTACCCATATACTTAAAATGTCTGAAATGGTAACATCAATGCTGTGTGCATTTTACCATGAGTTTTATAAAAGGCAAGTGGACAGGCAATAAATGGCTGCTGCTTCTGCCCACTTCCCTCGGAGGGAACCTAGGTGGTGATATACAGGACTTCATGGGGGGATAACTAAGGTGGATAAGAAGGGGCCACCCAAATTTAAATCTCCCCAGCCTTCCTTCAAGGCCTGGGCTGCAGGGGAGGTACCAGGACAGTGGGCTGGATGGCGACCGTCCAAGGCCAGAAGCAGGACCAGTGAGACCTGCTATGCTCTGCCACTGAGAGAGTGTTGGGACTTAACAGAGGGAGAAGGACAATGCCAAGATGTCACGACTGTGAAAACAGCCCAGAGGGCCTGCTCTCCTGAGTGGGGGCTTCTGCTCAAGGTCTGGGAGGGGTCAGCTTCCCCAGAGGTTCGGGAATCCCTTACACCACGGCAAAGTCCCATCTTTGCCACCTTCTGCCCAAACTCCACCCTGCTCTTTTCACTGCTGGCATGAGGGGGGGTTCCGCAGGCCACGCTCTCCGTGGACCTGGACCCACCTGGCGTGCTCCTCTGGTAGCTTCCTCTGCCTCTGCATGTGGAACATGAGGTCCCCGCCGTTGACGTATTCTATGACCAGGAACAACCTGGGAGGAGAGAAAGGCAAAGGATCAGGGACCGAAACTGCCCTGAAGCCGTGCTAGGTTCACTCCAGTCAAAGGCACCAGCAAGGTGGCCAGAGTGAGTGGAACCTCCACAGGGGGTCCCTTCTGGGTGCTAGCCTGCTGCCTCTCAGGGTGATCCCTAAGTACCTACGGCAAGGGGGTGCGGGCCACCTGGGAGCTTAGGGGGTCAGCAGGAAAAAACCTAGGGTGAAAGGGAAGGTGAGGCTGAGTTTGGCATTTGGATCGCTGAGGCATGAGGCATGGGTTCAGATCCTGACATCTGGGGTCCAAAACCATGTTGGATGTGAGTTTATCACAGATACTAAGGTAGGACACTGTTTTCACGAAAGAAGAAAGAGACTTAGGTATTTGTTTGCCTATCATTTGTCTCTGTTTTCCCAATGGTGTTAGGTCTGTTTTAGGGTGCACGCACACACAAAAAGGCAGAGATGTGGCAGTCCCTGGGGTTAGGGATGGATGAGCAGGTGACCAAAGAAGGAGCAGAGGACTAATGGAGCCTGAGGTAAGGAAAGAGCAAAAAGCTGGGGGCCGTCCTGGAGGTGGGACAAGTCTGGCTCAGATGGTCTAAGGGCACCCATGGGGCAGGTGTGGAAATGTATCAGGGGACATGGCTTAGGGGTTGGCTGCTCTAGTCTCTGGATGCGGAAGGACCTCAGCAACGTGTAAATGGGCAGGGCCAGGAACCACAGAGTTGCCTGTCCACCTGGTGAGAGAGGGTCAGCGTGGGTCAGGGAGGAGAGTGAGGAGAAGCCAGGCTGAGTTGAACGGATCCACCAGTAGCTGGACACGGGGAAGATGGACAAGAATGGGCTTGCCTCACGGGTGCAGCCTGGCCGCTGGGGGCTGTAGGTAAGAGGAAGGGCAGCAGGGGTCAGGCAGAGGTCAGGACCCAGCACACGGCCCTCACGTCTCCTCACACTGGCCATGTGTTTTCTTTCACTAATGAGATCTTTGCTGCATTTAATAAGACTTAATTTTCAAAATCCAATTCACAATAATTTCCCGAGATGCCCCGCTGAGGGCACCTTGGGGACATCTGGGCTGGCAGCTCACATGTGCCTGGACTGTTTATCTACAGTCTGCGGATCACGGTTTGGAGGCCCACCAGCAGAGGGTGGGAGCCAGTGTTGGAAGGAACAAGCAAACCCTTCACCTCCTGGCTCCTGTGACTCTGCTGGGGGCAGATGCCTGCATTCAGCCTCCAAAGCTCGGGCAGGGAAGATGGAAAAACCGACATGGCAAGTTAAACGGTGATAAACCATTCGCCAAATTTCAACTTACATACTTAGATGAGAAACAATTCCTAATATGTGGAAATCAGAACAAAAGACCTCGGCACCAGATGAGGAGCGATATAGTTCCCCTAAGTCAGCCCTAGATGTCCTGGTCCCAAAGAAAACCTAGCATGCTTGTGTTAGGGCTGAGGACACCTCCTTCCTCCAATCATACTCAATATTCCAGCCTCTATGGAAGGCTTTTCAGTCTTCTATGAAACCCCTTGCTTTGCCCCTGGGGATTCACAGGCCTGCTGCAGACTACTTTGAAAGTAAAGTTTTACTGAAACATTGTCATACTGTTTATGTATATAGTCGGGCTCTTGGTATTTCCGGGGAACTGATTGCATGACCCTCTTCAATGGCAAAATCACTGTTGCTCAAGCCTTGTATGTAAAATGGACCCTCTGCTACAGTGTAAATCGGTCTGCATTGCTCACAACCCTCAACACAATGAGAAAACCATGCGAATTGTTACCTTGTATTGTTAGGGAATAAAGACAAGGGAAGTCAGAACCTGACCTAGGGTGCGGGTTCAGCAGTAGCATGTTGCCCAGCGTGTGTGGAGCCATAGCTCCACCCCAGCATCACATGTGCCAGCACATGTTCAACACAGACAGACGCTCCCCACAGGGACTTCTGACACTGCGGCTGAAGCTGCAGAGGAGAACCCACGGAACACGGCAGAACCAGTGCAGGCCAACTGCGGCAGAACCAGTGCAGGCCAACTGCGGCAGCTTTTCTGTTGCTGTTCACAAAGGCAAAGGTGTTTGTGCTCTGGCCCTTAGAGAGGCAGCCTCCCTGGTGCAGACAAGCAGGGCATGCAACCCTGAGCCGCAAAGAAGCGTTCAAGTGCCTCCAAGTGTCAACTCTCAGAACCATCATGGCACCATGGGAGGTGGGTCCCGTGACGCTTATCAGACTCTGCAAGACGCCTAACATCTCAAAACTAGTCGGAGGGATCTCCTCCAGACTCTCTGGACGACCACAAAGCACAGCATGAATGTTTTTTCCCCCTACCAGGAATTGCAAACTTAACGGGTCCAGCCATCAGGGAGGGGCCGAGCCTTTCCTTTGGGCGCCAACACTTCTAGCAGACATTGGTGATAATGGCATCCCATAATAGGGAGAAACTTCAGTTGCTTCCAGGAAACACAGGCAAACATCCTAGCCTGGAGGATGTTAAGCCCCCAAAAAGCGGAAAGGCAGAATCTCTGTCTAGGGAGGGCATGGTGGATTTCTGTCTCTGTATCGGGGCTGTGTCTCTCTTCCTTCCCTCCCTCTCGAGGAACTCACAACACAGACCAAGACGCTCTCTCTGGGCTCCTGAGTGCTGAGATTACAGGTGTACACCACAAAGCCTAACTTTCTTTCGTCTATTTGGCGGGGTGTATGTGGTATTTCTAGGGGTGCACTGTCAACAACATGCATGTGAGGGCTGGGGACAACTTTCAGGGGTCGGTTCTCTCCCTCTACCTAGGCTGTCAGAAGTGAGCAGATGCCTTAACCGCTAAGCCATCCTGCTGCCTCCCTGCCCCCTTCTTCCCGTTCCTGTCATAAAAGCAGCTGTGAAACTAAGGACTTTGGAGGGGACGGTTCTACAGACAAAACCTCAGTACTGTTTGTTCTCAACATTCTTTGCACAGCAGAAATCCCCAGGAGTACCGTGTGGACTGCCCCGTGGGCGACTTGGGTTGGTTTGGGTGTTTGTGGCTGTGACAACGCAAGGTCCTATCTGCTCCCACAACTTGCTCTGTGTGCCTGGCAGGTACTTCCTGCACCAAGTTCCTCAGCCTCAGATGCTGTCTTGGGTCACAGCTATGTTTCTCAGTCAGGTTGAGGTCAACACCTGAACACAGGCATCTGTCACTGTCTACAGCCCCTTGGTCACACAGACACACCAATCCTCAAGGGAGACGTATTAGGATGGGCAGGGGTCTGTTGAGGGCATGGCCCTCAACACTCTACAGTCAGATCCCTAACGCTTTTAAGGCCACACTGCTGTAGGAAGGAAGCAAGTAATGGCTCAGATGGTGGATATTATCACTTATTCTTAGCAAAACGTGTAAAAGTTACTAACACCCAGTAGAAACGGATCTGTCCGCACAAGCAGATGGAGGAAAGGTATAAAGAGAAGCAGTAAGCGCCCGGAACCCCAGGCCAGAGAGAGTTGCAGAGTTACAGGCAGGAGCCAAGTCCACTGCTCCCCTCACCAGGAGAGGACCCAGATGGGACCCTGTGAGGACCCCTGTTCTCCAGCAACCTAAGCACCCAGCCCTGACTTGGTCTAGAGGGAAAAACTGATGGCACAAGGCAACATGGGTACAATCAAGAAGCACCTGGCTGGCTGTTTACTGCCTTGTGTTTTATTTGAATACAATCATGCACATTTTCTTCTTTTCTTCTTCCCTTCCTTCCTTCCTTCCTTCCTTCCTTCCTTCCTTCCTTCCTTCCTTCCTTTCTTCCTTCCCTCCATCCCGGTGGTGGGGAGTGGCTTAAAGTAGCCCAGGGAGGTCTTGAACTTTTGATCTGCCTCTGCCTCCAGACTGCTGAGATTACAACTACACACACCACCATGTCCCGCCATGCCACTTCTTAACATTTGTCTGTGGCTTTTGTGCCGGAACAAGCAGCCACAATGAAAACTATATGGTTGAGAAAGTGAAATCGGTCATGAGCCACAGCTGTCACCAAGTGACGTCACAGCCTAGCCTGTATAAGCTATGACAGTCAGGAACACACGTGTCTAATGACAAGTTCCCCAGATCACATTGCTGCTGTCAAGACACTGTGCTACGCTGATTAGTCATTTGAAAAAGGCTGCTAACTCTTGGTATAAATAGGAACAGCGATACAAAAGTTTCAAGAGCCCACACTCTATGGAGAACCCATTTGTTTCCAAAACTATGAGGTAAATTCTGCCATTTTCCTGATTATATGGAGAGAGACATAGGCACCAAAGGTTACACAGTCCTGATATCAGACAGTCTATTCACGGGGACCTCATTTCAAGGTCCTGCCTCTGTCCCCAACAGATGAGCCATGCAGATGATAGAGCAAGGGCAAGGGGGAGTGGGACGTGGAGTGTCAGCCTAGAATCCAGCTGGTGTCGCAGAGAACAAGAGCCCTAGAGAACAGAGGTGAGGCTCAAACTCCTGCCACACCAAAGACAACCCCCGAAGAGCGTAGTGGGAAGGAGAAGTCAGATTCCAGTTCCCTGGCCCAGACAAAGCTCTGTGTTCCAAGAGAGATGTGGACAGACAAGGAAACCTGAAACGTCTGATCCAACAAGAGGATTTTTATCTTGTGCAAAGAAACCTAGCAGGGTGGAGAGGGGGCAAACTGACTTAGACCTCTACAGGGACAGATGCAGGCAGAGCGTGCCGTGAACTGTGACTCAGAGGGGCTGGTATCCTCAACACCACAGGATATAAGACACATACTCTTCCCAGGGTCAGAAACAGCGTTCGACAGAGAAACTGAGGGACAGGAGAAAGCAACCAAATGGCTGGGGAGAAAGCCGCCATTTAGAAACCCCCCAAATAGTAACAGGGGCAAAGGCACTGAGGGAAATTCACGAGGTAATCCTGGGCCTGTGGTTCAGAGAGTGCTCACCTGTCATGTACGAGACTCTGGCCTCTCAACCCAGTACCAAAAAGGGATGGGGAGGGTGTTGGCTGGAAAGGT